ATTACAATTATTATATAAAAATTCAGAAATTTTTAAACAATCAACAATTAACAATTAACAATTTCATGTAAGATATATCGGTATTTAGGTAAAAATAAAAATACATGTAATTCATTAATATAACTTACCGTTTCGTAATCGAATTCGCAAACAATACCATTTTTGTAGCCGCTCTTTGCTCTGAAGTGAAGCCAATCCAATTGGTTAGCACAGATTCACAGCAGTGCATTAGGTTTGTTCGCGTCGCATGCTCCAACATGCTCCAATATGCACCTATCATAGCTCCTACTCACTCCAATGCACTCATTAGAGTGAGTAGCAACTATGGCAGGAACATGTTGGAGCATGTTGGAGCATGCGACGCGAACAAACCTATTGATTAGCATTGGTCACGTTTAGCAGACTCAACTGTTGTGGAGCAGATACGTGAGCACTCGCTGCTATTAGTGTATTCTTCTAGATCATCCAATAGCAGCGAGCGCTCATGGATCAGCTCCGCAACAGTTGAGTCTGCTGAATGCGACCAATGGGTGCATTCAGTACTACACCCGCTCACTGAGTGCTCAGTGAGCTCTTGCATTTGATTGGCATATTCTATTAGATCTAAAAATATACACCAATTAGATATAAGAGCTCACTGAGCGCTCAGTGAGCGGTTGTAGTACTGAATGCACCCAATGATTCGGGGCAGTGAGAGATTCAAGTTACTAGGAGCACTAGATCTGAATCAAGGCAAGTAAGGGTGCCGTCACATGCGGCGTAACCTGCGTAAGCGTAACCTGCGTATTCTAGTAATTTACTAGAATACGTTATTTTTTATTTACTAGAATACGTCATTCTGAAAGCCGGCATTCACATTGAGCGTATTTCGCGGAAGATTAGAGAAATGCGGAACTAATGCAACCAATTACTGATTAGAATTTCGGTTGTACACTCTAAAGAAATGCTAAATGAATCTACGATTGGTTTTCTTAACCTACGCATCTCGAAAAGTACGCCTCATGGGGAACCGGTACCTTTCCATCGCGTATATATGAGCGGATGATCAAATAAATTAATAAAATCGGAACATTTTGTGAAACCACTCCTAGGCTTATTCGACGCGTTTTTGCATGAAATAAAAGAATCTGGCAAAAAAAACGTCGTTCTGTCTTGTGATCTAAAATATTAAGCGTTAAAGTTGATGACTATTGAGGTTAAGAAATCTGTCACAGAGGCAAAATGAGATCTATAATTGTACTGTTCCACATGGGTTTCGACTTTTCACGCGATGCAAAGGAGCGCACGACTTTTATAATTGTACTGTTGCAAAATCAAAACCTTTGTGCATTTTTTCAGACAGAATAAGCTAAAATGAGCCAGAAATTAGATTCGACGAATAGTGGTTCTATCATGTTTCGGCGTAACAACAAAATAGCGTAAAAAGCATAAAGTGACTAGACAGAAACTGATGTTCAAGTGAAATGATATGATTGGTCGGCACAAGTTACGCTTACGCAAGTTACGCCGCATTTAACGGCAACCTCAAGGCCCGTCTACAATACACGGAGTAAGAAGTAAGAGTAAGAAATTGACCAATCACAG